GGGGGGGGGGGGGGGTGTTTAATGTAGGGGGAAGGGATTACATGCATTCCCCCTGCTTGCGTGCTTCCCGCGGATGTGAATGCCTCCCACGGCTGATGTATCCGCCTCTACGGCTTTAGCTCGTCGTGGGGTTTACACCGATGGCACTCTGTAGAGCTATGCCCTGACACCCGGCCTCAGCCCCAGTAAGCTTCCGTTGCGCATATCCGGCCTGAAACTTCGGACAGCGTATCCCACAAGCCGAAATACCAAAGTCGGCTTTTGTGCTTTAGATCGCAGAAATACAACAAGGGTCATAGATATCGTGACCAGCAGCACGAGCTATATGCCATATGTGGGGCCACTGTGAACCAGGTGCACAACCTGTCTGTCCATCGATGCGTACGGGGACGGCATTGACCAAACAATGCCCCCTGGCCCCTGGTCCCGCGAATTTGGCATGGTCTACATGAGCGTCCCTACCACCGTAGTCCTGCAAATAGCACTCCACGAGCAAAACCATGGCAGTCGCAACCTCCAGGCAGGTAGGTGGGTCGTCGTCCAATGTTAGGGTGAATTATTGCGTTCCCCAGAAGGGGCCATGGTTTTAACAGTTACCCACGCGTGCCCGGACACGTGCAGCAATGTCTTGCTAAAAAGCTATGCCTGGGAAACTCCTTGCGCCTATCATGAGGCTTGTGACAAAGATCCTGGACCACGCAGGATACAGAGCTCGCGTGCCAAATGACTTGCCAAAATTCAGCGTCTCACCGTGGACTCTTGCATTCGAAGGAACCCATCTTGACCCTGGCCTATCTTACCAGCGGCAGACACATCGACCAGCGGTAAACTTGGAAACTGACTTTCGGAAGAAGCACCAACGAACTACCGTTTGTAGAACAAACCCCTGAACAAATGCACTCTACAAGTAGCACGCATTCCGGAAAAATGCTGGAAGTGCCTCCTTGTTTGCGGCTTCCTGGCAAGAAAGGGTTCTTGGGTGTATAAGGGCGTGTTGCAGTGTCATCATGGGAGCTGGAGCAGGTCACGGCCGACACTTGAGCGGACCATTGATGAAGGAACAAGGACACCTCCTGCTGTAATAGCATCAAGCGCTCCAGTACTACTCAGGACAAACGATGCTACCGAGAAACCGGAAGCAAGAATCAAATCACGGTCTTCACCCCGGGATCGCGTCGCTACACATGTCGCCAAGTGTGACAGCAATGGAATGCGGAAGGTGGAGAGTGGAGAGGTGTTGTACAGTACCTGGAGAAGGCCACAGCATGGGGTGCCAGAATGCTCCCGACTTTGGAAAACGAATCTGCCACAGTCCAGGGGCCCGTCGTCTTCAAAACCAGAGGCCACAAAAGGCCTCAACTTGAGGCCTGTGCCAAACTTATATTAAATATTGCTGAGCCCCCGCCACACATATCCGAATCACCTAGTTGCGACGAAACGTCCCCTACAAGTCGCAGGTCCTTTCCAGACCTACTTAAATCACGAAACCAACATGATCCGGCAGCAGATTTACGAGCAAAATGCTCATTGCACTCCGCATGAGTATTTCCCGAAGTCCAAGTCCCATCGCCCTTCCAACTCCCCGACAAACCGGGGCCACCTCCTTCGACAGAAGAGCCCACTGTGGTTCAAGAGCCCAAACAGGCTTGTTCAGGGCTGCTGTCGGGAAGTCCTGAGACAACAGACCGACCCCTAAAATTCGGAGTCCCTACGAGTCCTTCGCTTCTGTCTGTCTTCTGCAGGCCCTACGAAGATACTGAGCTTGCTGCGAACATCCCTGCACTGGCCTAGGTGACAGACGAACTGGTGCACAGATTTTCTTCCGTGATTCGCAGAGTCCAGTCTTACAGACCTAAGCGAGAATGCCAGGATATTCGGACCTTGGCCCGCGCGACTCCTTGAGCAAGCTTCCATCTAGAGCCATCTGAAGAACCGGGAGAGTGGCGCCCCCGCTGCGAATCAGAGGTATCACCTGGGCACAACACAATGCAAAACATGGTTGCGTCGTAACATGCACGGAGCAGGGTGCGATGCGATCCATGTAATGGTGGGGCAAAAGATTTTGTTCTACTGACTGGCATATAGCTACGACAAATACTCAGTCTTCAGCTGTGGAGCTGTGAGTTTTTTGTACATGTAGATACACGATGCTAAAGCTTAGGCACTCCTCCTTCTTGCCTTCGTTCCTCATCGGCAGCTGAGGGGCTGCCTCTGTGCCTTTCTTGGCCGAGGATGGTCGCCATGGTGTCACGTGCAGAAACGAGCGCGCCCCTATAGATCACTTAAAAGTAAATTGGTCGCAGCAGACTTTCAAGGGATTGAGAACGTGCAGGTCAGTCCGAACATTGTTCCAGCAACCCCACCCGTTCCCCATCGTTCCGCATCTGCTTCTCGATCTTCGAACTCGCCCTCTTGAGTCTCAAAACATGGGTCGTGAGGGGTTTAGGACGGGCAGGGGGACCCCATAGCCAAGTGACAGCTGCGCCGCGCTCAGCGGCAGCCTTGCATGGTTGGTCTGTCATGCAAGCCAACGCCAAGTCAGATCCGTGAACAAAACGTCAGGTCTTGATCATACCAGGTCAACTGATGATGCAGTATGCTTGTGATGTTGCTGCTGGCTGCGCTCTGTTCGTTGTTGATGATAACAACAGCTCTGATCGGCTGTTCTCCTTCCATGTGAAGGATGACTGAAAAAACTGACAAACGATTTTCCACAGAGCTGCTTCTAGAGCCTAGGTCTCCAAAGAGGTGAGCGAACCTAGAAATTGCTCATCAACAAATCAAGCAAGGGATGCATATAAATCATACCACGGATCCCTCTACACTTCAGGCTAGACTTCCTCCGTAAGGACTAAAGGGCTCGTGACCCACCCCCTGTGTCCAGTTGCCTAGACTAAACATTTCCAAAACGGAAATTACTAACTCCCTTCCAACACCCTTGACACATCGACGACTACGACCCCAGAAAGCCAAAGCCCTGAAAATGAAATCACACATTCGCCTTGGCTTCTCCAGCGACGCCCGGCCCGCCCTGTTTGCAAGGTTTCCGAAGGGTTAGCTAAGGGTAAGGAGTGTAAGGGTAGAGATTGAGGGTTCAGCGGTAGAAGGGTTTCGGCTTCAGGGCTTCACGGCTTTGGGGTTGTAGGGCTTCCGGGCTTGAAGGATGATTGGGCGCTGTCATCGGTCGTTCTCGGGATATTTTGGGTTCAGGGATTTAGGCAAATGTTTAGGGGTTTAGTGTATTTGGGGTGGTTTCAGACTGATAGGCGTTATGTTCTCACGTTTGCACAGTGCTGCTGTTGTCGTGCGGTGGGGGTCGAAGGCGGAGTGTGAAATGCAGTGGTTGTTGGCGGATGCTGGCTAGGAGTCTGTGATCTTCCGTGGCTCAACAACCTTGTCACAATAAGCAAGGAGGCTTCTGGGACACACGTGCTGGTCTCGTTGTGGTCGGAGTGCATGCTCTCTGCTCTTGATGCCACCCATGCTTTGCATGCTGTAGCCTCGATCGTGATGTACAGATCACCAAGCAAACCGTACACGTCCTCCCAGGCGGGCAACATGATATTAGTCCCTGGAGACACTGCCGGAGCAGGCAACAAGTTTTAACCCCCCGTCCTTTCTTTCCGCCAAGGAAACACCTGCCGTGCTACAGATGCTTTATCAAGCTGCAGGAGGAAAGGACTACAGTCACTCCTGCATGGACATCCTGGCCCATGTCGAAGTTGCTCTTTTCACCTGACCATGAAGACACATCTCCACTGCCGCAGGCATACCTGTTGTTGTCGAAACAGGCACGAATCCAAGCCCTCGGCCAAAAGGCGTGAGGTGAAAGAGCGGCATGTGTTCAGGGCAGCTGTCTGCGAATGACTTCTGGACCTTATGCAACAGTGCATAGCAAACACCGATGCGACCGTGGAATCAATTTATCAGGAAACGAAGGCATGCACGAACGAATGAACACATGGTCTTCGGTCATTTAGGGGGCAGAACAGGGCAAAATTGCTCAAGACCCGGACTCCTGCCATGCCACCGGTCATGAAGACGGCTCGCGAACCCACTCTGGCACTCAAAGCATCGGCCAATTCCTTAACCTTGGGCGTGCATGCTACATGCTGATTCTACGTTCTTTCAAAGATACTACTGCAGCTTGTTCCGTTGGGGGGGTGAACTGCTAATAAAATGCACTGTGGAGATAGGCTGTTCTGACTCATGGGACTGCTTGGGAGATTACGAAGATGACCGGGGCAATCATGTCCAATACATTCCAACCATAGGCTTGACTCGACTCGGCTTGAATGTAACACCTGCGTAAGCTGTACCTCAGAAGACCCGCGACCGCGCAGAACAAACTTCATAACGAAGCGCATTAAACGGGAAAGCGAACAAAGCTTAAACGGAAGCACCCCGGGACCGAGTTGAAACAGTTCAAAACACGAACTAGTCAGCCAGTCACTACTGTACCGCACTGCCGTCTTTATTCAACCGATTCTGTGGCAGCTGTCGCCGATGTTTTTTTCTTCCTTTGTTTCTGCCGCTCCCATTCGTTCGGCGACTGATGTTAGCACGTGCCTGTTTGTTACATGTGGTTGTATCTTCGGGTCTGTTCGTCGTAATCGTGAGTTGATGGCGTGTGTGTATCCTCACCACCTTGCCCACTCCCAGGTGCGAAGTGATTTGCCACTCTGAGATTCCGGCAGTCTCCTGGCAGATACAAGAGACAATCAGATGTACAGGTGCCCGTTGCCCCAAGCAAGCCTATTTCAGTGCTTCATCGCGTGCAGTCGAGCCCTTGGATCCAGGCCTGGGTATCCGGCTTCGAGATGGCCGTGCCGCCAAGGATGCATACAATGGGCTTCGGCGGCAGCTCTTTCCTGTCCGAAGCTCAGACTGAAATTCAACTGAATACAAGGTGAACTGTGCAATGGTTTGATTAAAACCTTTTTGTCGCATCATCGCATCTGAACGTGCAGGGACTACGCCTAGGTAGCAGTTGCAGGATTGTACACAAGGCAGCTTACGAAACCAAAAGCAACGACCCCTACTGAGTATTGGTTGGGGATGCAACATGGCTCCAACCAGGAACTCGTTTTCCAGAGGCTCTCTGGGCTGTAACTTGCCGTGGCAGTGGCTGCCGTCTCGAAAAGCTGCCTCGCATATAGACATAGTGGTATAGAAGACAACCATGAATCAAGTACACAGGTGCCTTGCTCAGGAACCCTCCTTCGTTTCGTTGGGGGCATGCGAATCTCCGAAGCAAGATTGACATGTCATCACGAGGTGGAGGGACAGGGTCTGTCAACCCTAGAAGCCCTGCACCTCACACTAGCCACCCTCCCGCGCCTTAATCGACGGACCGAGTCCAGTGCACTCTCGGTTGGAAAACGCTCTTCTGTTGCCGTCCCTGGCCCAGGTTGTCGTACGCAGAGCACACGAAAAAACAGAAAGGAGACTGGTGCTTACAATTTAATGACTTAACAATTATGTGTACATATATATATATACACACATACATACGTATCGTATCTGCGCATGTGTGTGGATATATGTATGTATGTATGTATGTATGTATGTATGTATGTATGTATGTATGTACGCATGTATGATGTGTATATATGTGTATGTATGCATGTATTTCTGGATGTATTACAGTTACGGTTCTATATGTGTTCATTGGTATCTATCTATCTATCTATCTATCTATCTATGTACACATGTATACATACTTACATGCGAATTTCTGAGACGGGAATGGGAACTAAACGCTGCCACTAGCAGGCACTATCACCATACGACTGCGTGGCATAACGAAGGCGGAGTTCGACGTTTCGCAGGGTTTGCGCAGACGTCGGCTGTGGCACTGTACTTTTGAGGTCTCTGAGATCTATATAAACTGGACTGAAACGTATCACATCTCAGAGTCATCATGGACATCCCCCAGCACCATCCGTACACAGTGGAGAGAGTGAAAGATACATTCCGAAAGAGCCCTGCGAGCCTGTAAACCCTGGTAGGGGCCTTCAGCATGACAGTGTTCGGCCTACCACAGTTCCTTACCACTAGCTATGCCGACCACTAAATGAATAAATCATACTACATTATATCGAGGATTTTGAGGGGGCCGCTAGGATGCGATGGGCGCAGTATGCCCGGTCCTTCGATATACTTCTGCTGGAGGATTCTGTCAGCCAATACCGGCACTGCACCACTTTTGCGGAGCTCGCTTTGGATTGGCACGCGTATGGAGCCCAACTCCAGGGTGAAAGAGAAGCATGCCGAAGCAGCAGAGCAACCTTCGGCAACCATGACACCTGATTCTGTTTTTGACCTTGGCGTTTATGGGCTTGAGGTGGTACATGACAAAACAAAGACATTTAAGACATCTCTTGCCTCGACATTTCCGCTTTGGGACTAGCAGTGAGAGCATCAAACTTGGGCTGCCCGCGACATTGGAGTCCCGGACCCGTTCACGCTGCGGGGAAGCAGCTAGACGCATGGTCCAATCAATAGACTTGGAACGACATCTGGTTTCAGCTGCGGCAGTTGGCGGCCTTGCATGGTAGAACTGATAGAACCTGAATCCCACTGTGTGTCTCATATCTGGCTATGGCAGGGTTTGGGGCCCTCGGGCTCATGTCAATTTGAGAGCTTCAGAGTCAAGAGACCGTAGGGATCACCGCTGGCTTGAGCATCGTGACAAGCTCATCATCCCAGCAGAAACACATGCGCGCAGGACTGTCTGCTTACCCACGAGCTGCCACGAACCTTGAAACTCTGCTCCCCCGCAATTCAGCACAGCCACGGCCTCTCGCACATGCCAGCCAGGTAAGAAAGCCAGTGTGCGGGATGCTCACAAAGAGAAGCGCGTCTCCTGAATATATGTTGGGTTGAAATGCCGCCCAGATTCTGATGTCACGTCACATCTTTACGGAACTTGTGCAGCAATGGGAATAGGACAAAATGCATGTCTGGGAAACCTTTTTCAGGAATATATTGCTGCGCAAAGTTTCGTGAGGAACTGGTGCTTCTTGCTCTTTTTGCATGCAGACCTGGCCCAGCATTGGACAAGCTTGGCTTGGCTGCTGGACTTCATAAAACTGCCGGAGCTCAGGATCTGCACTCTGATTCGTCCACGCAACTTCAGGCCCAGTCATGAAGCAAACAGACCAGATAGCCTCCATCCCCTGCTCTATCCGCCATGCAACAAGCAATTCTAATCCGAGGCACGCCCTCTTCGTCTTCCTCGCGGCTGTTCTCCGCGGGTGTTTCCAATGCCTAACGGCAACAACTGAACACAGCTGAGTCCTCCGAGAACGACCACTGACATTGACACACGTCTGGGATCCTCTGGGCCTAGTATCACTCTGCCTTACGAACTGGTGAAAGAGAAGGATCTGAAGCATAAAGTCTTGCTTGCGGCTTAGCTTGTCAGAGCAAGTCGACTCGCGCTACTGCCTGTGCGTGCGGTATTCCTGAAATCGGGACACCAGTAGGCTGACTGTCTGACTGCCTGCGACTTACATATGAGTGAAGCTTCAGGATCTACTACGCAGCTCGACAAGCGCAAGCATCTAAGGATGTTATGCTAGGAGTAAACGTGTAACTGTGGTGTGGAACCTGCTGACAACCCGTCTTCTCTGCATAGCATTCTCAGTTATTCCGTGCAGCTGAAGCACATCCGTGAGTTCGTGGGGAGTGCTATCTGCTGCAAGCCCCGAACCTGCTGGAACTTCTGCCCCTCGCGCCTCGAGGTCCGGCAAGTCCCGGGGAAACTCCATCCTGAGAGCTACTACTACTACTACTACTACTACTACTACTACTACTAGTAGCCCCCCCCCCCCCTACCAACTACACTTCGTCATTCTCATCAACATCATCACCACCAACTTCACGAAAAAAACAAACACCTTCCATTACCAACATCACCAAAAAGCAAACACATTTCATCACCTTTCATCGCCAACATCACCAAAAGTACTGCAAATACGAATAAAAGCTGGGTTGTGTGCTCGCGAAAAACCAAACACACTTCATCACCAACATCACGACAACATTTCACCACCTTTCATCACCAACATCAAGTACTGTAAATACCGAGTAAAAGCGGGGTCGTGTGCACACGTACTGCAAATACCGAAAAAAACGGTTGCCCCAACCAATTTCGAGTTTTTTCGGCACGCCGTTCGAGACACCAAAGTTTAAGACGCACAGTCCAGAAGTAGGGGTGGCAACTATATAACAAAGTAGGACATCACGAAAGTACTGTAAATACCGAGTAAAACGGCTCTTCTGGTCATGTTGTTGTTTGTGTTTGCGTAACAGTGTCGTCATTATCCCCCCCCCCCCCCCCCCCCCCCCCCCCC